TATATATATATATATATATATATATATATATGTATATATATAAGTGTAATAATAAATTTGGAATACCTACTCTAATAGTCGGTTTGATTCGATTTTTTTATTACTGAAATCAAAATTTTAAAATTCAAAATCAAAACCAAACCAAACAAAAAAGTATTCCTTTTTTTTTTGCTCGGTTTGGTTTGGTTTTGGATTTGGTCCTTTTCTCGGTTTTTAGGAACACCCATAGCTCCACCTTTCCTCTAAAACCCTGCTATACTCTACTGCTCTGTCTTCCCTAAACCCATAGGAAGAGCAATTACCTTTCTCATTCACAAATGGCGGTGGACAAGAACAAGCTGGATGAAGAAGCTTGCAGTCTCCGCTTCTACAAAATCATTCTAAGCTGGGATTATCTTCGTCTCCTCAAAGAATCCGATGTAATTTCACAATCTTTTACTGTATCTCTTAATTCCCCTACTTCTACCCCTCTCTGTATAAGTGGGTGTTAATATATATATTTCATTATGTATTTCAATTTATTTAGAGAAAGAATCACAAAAAGGATAAAGGGGATGATGACACTACTACTGGACTGAAAAAAGCTAAGAATTCGTACAAAGATGTTGAAGATTATATTGCAACATTCGAGCCTCTTCTTTTTGAAGAGGTCAAAGCTCAAATCGTCCAAGGGAAAAAAGATGATGAAGAAGGTAGCATTGTTCTTGTTATTTATCCATCTTCCCCACATTGTTAATATATTTGAGATTTTTTCTTTGAGAAAGGTAATATAGGATGTTTGAGATTTTATCAAAAGAAAAAAAAAATAGTATCGAGCGTATAGTAAGCGATAATTGCATTATGGTTTTCTTCTTTGAATTCCCCCTTCTTATTCAGTTAAAAATTCTATCTTTATTTGTGTCGTCGAGCTAATTTTTGGTTAGCTATTAGTCATATTAACACAAGTTGCTGTGTCAGCACCATAAAATAAAACCTCAATCTCATACTAATTTGGGATGGACAAGAACTATATCTCGGAAATTTTGAACATTCCGAGTAATTTGCCATGTTCAGGTTATTGAGCATTGTAATGAAAGGGTCCAAATTTCATATAGGTGACCCCAACTAACCAGGGATTGAGGCACACTTGTAGATTTTCTTCTTGTTCTTCATTCTTGGGCAGCCTTGTACAGGTGTTACTAGATGAAAGAAAGGAACACCCTCTGCACTTGTTGATCCAAGAACTTATGCAGATGTTATTGGATTTTTATTTTTGCAATTACTACAGCGATAAGGACTCAAGAGACAACTAGTACTATTAGTCTTTTGTCTTTAAAACTTGAGGGCGGACTAGAATTTTGACAATATATCACCTAAAGTGCATTTTCATATTCATAATTCAGATTGCACATTTATGCATGTATACATGTTTTATGAGTCTTCAAAGCTTACATTGGTATGTCTTCAAGTTCCATTTTGTATCATTTTATTTGGTTGACTCTGTTTTCATGTACTTAGCATATTTGTTCTTGGGTATTGTAGACACGCAATGGATGAAAGCAGTAACTGTCGGGTGTAGTGAGATTGATGGATTTCACTTTCCAATGATTTCATCCAGTGATGCTGAATCAATATCACAAAATGATTTGTTGTTACTTTCAAATAAAGAGGTACCCGGTTTCTGTTAACTTTGTGTATGCTTTTCACTTGTCACTTTGTAAGGAGTCTGAACATATGTGTTAAAAAATTTGGGTTCCTCAATGCTATCCCACTTAAATTGTGAATACAAGCATCATAATGCGGTTTCCATATGTCATCATTTTCTTTCTGAAGTTTCTTGATAGTCCGAAGTTAAAAAATTTCTTAGAAATTTGGGCGCCTGTGGTGAAATATTTGCAGTTTGGGGAGGGTAAGAGACTTCCAACTGCGTATGCATTTGCATTAGTTGAGGATCGTCGACCAGACAAAATAAGACTTAGGATGTACCTGAGTGGAGAGGTCAAACAATTGAGTACAGAGGAGACTGAAGCTTGCCCAAGGCTTTTGAATATGCGTCCTCTTGTTACAGAAAATGCGAAGCTTTTGCATGTTCTTAAGGTATCCCGGCCTAACTTTTAAATTCTTGTCGAACTTCAGGTGTTCCAATATATTTGATTTCGTTGTGATTCTAACTTACGTGTTCATGCATGTGGAGAATATGTAAAGTGTGGGCTCAGTTTATTATACTTTCTGGATAATGCTCCATTATGAAGAAACGAGTTGTTCAGCCTGTGTATGAGATATCAAACTTGTATATTGAGCTAAACCAAATTCAAAAGTTCACTGGTGGAAATTTATGCATGATTTTGGTTCTTTATGTACGAAAACCTCGTTAAGTTGCAGTAGATATGCTCTATGTTTCTTAAGGTGATATTCAGCAACTGATAATTGTTTGTGTTAGCGAGACCTTGGTAAGTTAGTCATGGTAGAGATATACCAATTCTCCTGCAATTTCCAGGCAATCAGCAGAATTCAGATGATTTGCAGCGAAGTTTTTTGAGGGTCTATTTTATTGGTCTGCCTCAATGTTAATATTGCTGAGTGGAAAAAAAAAATACCAGTTGCAAGTCACATTAATATTGGTCTAGTTATTTGAATTTAAAGATGAAATTAAAGTTTCATATACTCTCGTGAAACTGTTTTCCTTTTCACTATATATGCTTCACTTTGCAGATATGCAGTTTATCAACTATAGCCCGTGAATATGTTGCTCTGCGGTCAGTTAGCTCCCTCCCATTCAAGGATTTGATACTATCAGCAGCTGAAAGCAATCATACTACAGAGGATCATGCCTGGAAAATATCCAGACCCTTGAAGGATTTTCTTGAAAGCAATCACAACAAGTCTCAGCTTGATGCTATTAATGTGAGTTTCTAAAACAACTTTATAATTATTCTTATCTC